CTGATTGTTGAAGAGTAGGCAGGAGCAACAAATTGATGATTTGAACAACAGTGTCTTTCAAAACCCTAGTGTTACCTGAGGGCATTTTGAGATTAAGTTACTCCAAAGCATTTAAAAATAATTTTTATAAAGTAAATGAGTAGTGTTCTTGTAAGATTCATACAAAATTGCAGACAGTTAGAAAAGAACATGTAAGTAATTGAATATAATTATGGAAGAAATCTGACACCAGTCTGTAGCTCTGCCTGCTACTTGAGTAATCTGAGATATTTTCTTAAATGGTTTAAATACTGAGGTTTGCTTCACTTTTAGCATGTACATGTGACTTAGGTTATAAGATTTTCCTGGACTTTTTAATGACCTGCGATGTGTGTATTACATAAACCGCCTACAGAGCATTACTGATCGTCTCTAAATTTGCATTTTAAAGATGCCTGAACATGTCAGGTAGTCACTCTTATAAATGTCATTGACCTCTGCCTTCCTAGAGATATGGCTAGGTGTCTGAATATGTCTGTAGCTCTTTATTTTGTCTTTTTTTTCTCCCCTCCTTTTTGAAAATAAAAGTTTGTTATGATCTGCTTGATTTTAGTTGGATATTGTGCAGGAATTTTTTTTCAGTTTCCATCAATCAGTGCTGTATGTAGCTAATTTCACTAAAAGTTCATGGAGGGATAGTGTTCTTAAAGACATACACTTGCTACAAACTTAGGAAATGGTGGTTAGATGGAGGAGGAAGAGAAAAGGTGATGTACACATGACAGCAGAGTTGATACAAGGTCTGTGGTTTTTTCACCCTGCCATGTAACCTGTCAGACGATGTGTGCTGGTCAGCCAATTAACACACTCATTAAGTCAAACCATCCTTTGCGCGCGATGCCTCCTGTGGCATCCGTAGTTCAGGGACATAGGTGAGGACTGAGGATACTGGAGGTGAAGCTCACGTTATTGTGGTTGGATGATGATTACTTGTAGGCGTTACATGACATATCATTAAAATAATTAGGCCTGCCTGGTGCCTCTCATCATGGGAAAGCTTGTTTTGGAGTCTGGTGTTCTGTTTCTGCTGGAACACACTGATAGCCTAGCTCAAAGTCTTGCACTAGACTATGTCGCTGTGGTTTTTAAGGATGGTGTTAGAAATGCATATATTCCTTCCACGGTTAAGAGGGAATAAATAATTTCTGCTTAATTTGGTCAATAGAGCTTGAAATTTGTGTATGAAAACTAAATTAAAAAAGAAAGTACTTCAGTAATACTTTCCACAAACTGATGGTATTCTGAATCTGGTGGACTGATTTTGCATAATTACATTTTTGTGCTGGAGAGACAAAATGCATTTGTGTGAATTCTGTAGTTAATGCTAGAAAATATTTTTTCGATCTATTTATTTTTACTGAGTAGGCCTTTTTAATTCTTCAGACATTAAAATACAGTAGGCCTTAGAGTTCAAATAATTAGCAGTGCTTTTTCTTTGAATGACTACTGTATTACTTTATGGGTGTTTGTATTTGATTCGAGGGTGATCTCCTCCTTCCAACTCCCCTCCCTATTGTACTGTGCATAAAGGTCAAAACCCGGTTTCTTCTTTCTACCCTCATTTCTGTTCACATAAAAGCAGTCTTAGATATATAGTAGCCTCTCATGGCTTGTCTGTCTATGCTAAATTTAATTCCATAGCAATTTTTTTCTTTAAATGAATTAAATGTTTTTTCTTATATATGAAGATTTTCTGTCTGTCTATGTCTGTCTGTCTATCTATTTTAAGGTGGTAATGGCCAAAATGTTTTGGTGAGAGTTAAATCAGAGCTTGGTTTAAACTGTAAGGGAAATGGGATGATTACCATTGGAGAGTAAATCTGTGGCCAGTTTACAGTGAGTTGATGAACAGAAGGAGAAATCTTGCAGTCTGGGCTAGGTGCATAGAAGTTAATCAGCTGTTTAGGGAATCGTTACGGTGGTTATATATATTCATGGATTTTGGAGGAGAGGTTTGTGGTCATGTCTTCTGCTGTAGGAGCTGTCATGTATTAATCCTGCTGTTTGTTCCCTTTGTTTATAGGTAGCGAGAGTGTGACGTTGCCTTCAAAGGCCTTCTAACATTGCCAAGCCTGCATTAAAGCCTAGTTGAATTTTGGGTTTCAAGTTTTAAACAGCTGTGTGCAGAAATGAGGAAAGGAGTTTTTCTTAAGAAAAAGAAGTCGGAGGCTTTCTGTTTCCAGTTTTCTCACAGGTGGTAAAGGGACACGAGGCAGTCCTTGGTCAGTCTTCAGATATGGAAAGGAAATCTTTCTCCCATGCTTGAGTTATCTTATGCAGGAGACTTTACCTGACTGCATGCTTAGTACCAAACTAATCATGTTTGGGGCCAGAAATATTTTCTCTGGAGGTCAGGCTGGCAGGTGTTTGATTCCCCCCCTCCTGTGTGTGTGTCGGGCACAGATGTCGCACAAGGACAATCGGGGTGTATTTCATCAAATCAGTTTCTCACGTGGAGGTGTTACTAAAGAGTAATGCATTTGTCTTGTCTGACTGTAGCGTGCAGAGTTTGGTTGTCAGAGGACTGAAGTGTTGTGATCTATATAAATTTCATCCAGATGCGCATGTGCTTACCCTCATAATCGTAATATCCAGCGATACAGAGAAGATGTAGTTTAATAGTCTCTTCTGGATCTTAGTTGTGAAGTACAACTTGTGCACAGATGAAGCAAATACAGAAATAAATATAGTGATAATTTTCTTAAGCTATCTCCACTTGTGCTACTAATTCTTTAGACTTGTTGCTATAAGATTTGTTACTTCCTTAAAATTTCAGCATACAGTTATGTATGTGTTACTCTGCTGTCTTTTAAATAACAAAAGTCTACTCTTATGTGTAGGAGAGGCTTGGAATTTTGTCTTAATGGCTTTGTAAATCACTGGAAAAGTAGCAGTAGGCATTTAAAATATTAAAACATCCTTTAATGGTTGTATTATGGTATGTGAATGTTTGAAAATGTTCTCACTATTTATTTCTTAATATTTTAACGTTTTTGAATTTTTTTTTAGAGTTAAATCTGTTATTTTCAGTTTTTTTCCTGAAACATTCTCTCTGTTATCCTTTTTCTAGCTCTGCTGTTTGTTTTTAATGATGAAATATGTAGGATTTTTTTTGCTTCATCCTTTTCCCCTCCATTGATCCTGTTCTTTCCTCTAGCTGTGATTCATTTGTTTCTTCTTCTTCGGTATACCTGTATTTTCTGCAGACTGTGTTGGACTCAAGGGAGATCAAGAGCTAGAACTTAAATATGCAAATAGAAGGAGATTAGAAAGTTCTGAAAACTTTGGACATTCTTTGGCCATCTGCCCTGTGACAGTGCATGATTTGTTTTAAATTCCCTTTTGCTCTTAGTTGTTGAGTGTTTGGGCATCTGGAAAAGTATTTCTTTGGGGAGATTGGGAAAGACAGGATTTAATAGTCAACTGTATTAGAAGATGAGAGTGTAAAAATGTTAGGAAAGCTGGACTCTGTCTCCTGTTTCTAGAGCTCTGGTTTTGAGAGAGAAGAAAGTGGAGTTAAACTGCAGGAAGGGCTGCAAAGGCTGTTATGGGTCAACGGCTCAGCTGTTGGCGTGGGCTATGGGTAACGAGTGCTGAGGTCTCCAGTGCTTACATAGACCAAATAAAGACTGCATGTGCAGGCTGTGCTACTGCTTACAGTTTCTTTTTAGGGCAGAAAATGTCATAGTGTAAGAAAACTTCAGTTGCGGTGAGAGGAAAATACCGGGTTTAGTTTTTGAAATGTGGATTTTCTTGTTGCTCTCCAGGTATCTTAGAATTCTTGCAAATTACAAGGAGTGGTTATACTCTACACTGACTCAAATGCTTCATTCTTAATAGGGTTGGAATTTTTCTTGATGAATAAATAAACCTTTAACGTTAGGTGTTTCAAACCTGGATATTCTTTACCTACAGACAGCAAATCTGCTTGAGAAAGTGCTGTTATCTAATTGTTACTTTAAGTGTCAGTGACAAGCATATTTGTTTATGTGATAGAGTTTTTATGGTGCATTGGACATATGGTGGACGTTGGTTACTTAGGTCTTTTGTTCTCTTTGTAGCCTCTTCCCTGGAGAGATGTGTGTACAGGGTAACATTTTGATTTTACAGTTTTGTCATATTTTTTTTTTTAATGGATGATATACAGTATATATGTAAATGAGAAGTGAAAGCCCTATGCCTTCTGGAATGGAATGGAAAGTGGTGCAGTCAGTGATATCTCATAGTATGCATGAAACTTTATTCCGTAGTCTTGCTGATATTTTTAAAAAGGAAAGGTGGTGCCATACAGGGAAGGGTTGTCTTGGTTAAATCTAAGTTCCATAGAAGGGTGGAGTTGCTAATGACAGTCTTTATCCCAGAGAGTCCTGTAGTCCTTCTAAATATCCTAAGGCCAGGTCATTGGGTGCCTTGAAAATAAGATATTTTAAGAGTGACTCAATGTTTTGTGGAAAGCCAGGGTCGGAAGTTGCAGCAGATCTGATGTGTTCCTAAGCTGCTGTTAGTCAGAGGAGATGTGGGAGCATTCTTCACCCTGAGGTAGGTAAGGCTGCATTGTTGTGGTCTGCCAGGGTAAGTCATGAAGAAGTGAAACCTGAGTCTTAGTCCACTGGCATTTGGTGGAGTCTCCTCTCCCTGGTTCCACACACCTTTTGGGCAGTCTTCTCCTTCTCATAAAGAGTAATAGGCAGGAGGAACACCATGGCTTCAGAAACAGAGGGCGAGGCAGCACTGGAAGTGGACTGTGCTTTTCTCTCCAGTGAAATCACAGTCTTACAGTGGTGAGAGGAGCATGTCGCTTCCGTTCCCTGGATTACGGCTGAGCCTCTGGGTTAGGGGGCCGGGTGAGGCAGCATGGGCAGCATGAGGACGAGGGGAGGCAGCGCTGTGTCTCTGTTTCATACAGCAGCAAACACCTGTGGCACGATCTCACGCAGCAGTGCTCTGCTCGTGTTGCGGACATGCCGTACTCGCTTACTAAAGCTGGAAATCTACAGTAAGTTGTAAGCAACGAAGAGTTCTGTTTTGTGAAGTTCTTGTCACTCTGTCTCAAAAAGAGTGAAACTAAGAAATTGTGGAGAATAATGGGAGGTATGGAGCTGGTTTTTGCCATTCCTGGATATGCGATAGTCAGCTGTTTGGATCAGTGAGCTGAATCAGAATTGCAGTCCTTTGTTCTTGTAGTGAATAATGCCCCAAACTAACTTTTACAGCTATCAGTACTAAGGTCCTGGTACAGACTACCCTGAGGTGACTAAATAAAGGTGTCCTAGGATTCATATGCTCCTTTTACAGCTGGAGAGCTGAGACCGTAATGTGAAGGATATGTTCATTTCTGTCTGACCCTACAGGGAGTCTCAGGTAACTTACAGATTTTCTGCTACATCTGTTAGCATCTTCATGGAGATTAATAGTTTGCCAAGGAAGTATCCACTGCCTGTCCTGATGCCCTCTCCTTCCATGCTGCTGTCTGCTGCTGATGTCCGCTGCTAAGCCTTGAGCAGTGCATTTATTGTAAGAGTTTGGCCTTCATCCCAGTGTCCTCCCAGCTGGCTTGAGTGAGGTATGTCCTAGTGGGAACCATGAGCCGCTGCAGTCTGACAGGTTTCATAATCTTTCTGTCTCTTGCAATCTCACCTTTAACAGTAGTTTTCTGAAGTGTGTGGGACTGAAAAGGAGAGCAAGGTGGTGTCCACAAGTACGTCTGGTATTTTTTCCATGTGATCCCACCATTGGTGGTAGAGAAGAGGAGGAGAGCCTGCTCCATAGTCTGCACTTGCCTGTTTTCAGCTGTACACAATATTTAGCTTAGCTGATGGTTATAAAGCACTTTGAAAATGATGAGCATTGTTTGTTTTTGTTGATTTTTTTTGTTTGTTTGTTTTTGTAGGCATGCATTAGGCTCCATTGCCCTTACACATACAGCTCATTCACTTATTGTGAGCATTGTTTCTTGGGACTGGTTTGTGTGTCGCTGTTTCTCGTTCTTTTCTATTTTACACTTGGGAGTAGAATAATAAACAGAAGGGCAAGCACAAATTTGTGTTAGTGTAAAACTTGTTGGAGAAGCTACAGAAGTATTTTTTTGACTTTGATTTGACGTTAATTTATAAGGTACCAATCTTTTCCTGTTATACTTGTGACACTTTGGTCTGAGGAGGCAAGGCTTTACACTTCAGGTGTAAGGTCTGTGTTCTTAAAACAAAAAAATTGTTATTTTGTTCCCAATGTTCATGACCTTTGTAGATTAGGCTGGAAATAGCTGAGGAGGTAGCAACTAGTGATCTGGCGTTTGGACTACGTTAAGACTTTACTTCAACAGAAAGATTATCTGGATTGTATTATTGCCTAATCCATTATGGTTTAAGCAGTCTTGACACTTGATTAAATAATGTGTGAATCTGTTTTCAGAAGTCTGTTCATGCATGTATTTCTCCTTAATCCTCAGTTCAAGCTTCATTTTGGACACAGATTTTGGCAGAACTGTCCTGTGGTTAGTTTTAGCAGAATCCTTGTCCCGTTTCTGAATCTGAACCATCTACTTGCTATTCAGTGTGAATGGACAGTGTTTCAGAAGAACTGCTCCCTCCTCTATGTTTTTAAACTGAGGAACCAAGTTTGAGACGTGTTGCCAGTGCTGATTTGACAGGACATCTTTTGTTGTTCTCATCAGCACCAGCAGTAGCAAGCTCGCTCTGTTTGGAACTTCTCTAATTCTAATTATTGACTGAAAACTCCTGCCAGTTTTGAGACTCTTTGGGAGGTCAGTGCAGATAACGATGATAATGCTATTAAAAAGGAAAAACAATAAAATCTGTCTCATGGTGTACCCAAAGTATAATTTTGGGGAGTCATAGGAGCATGTAGGTTGGAGGGAGCTTGGGAGGCGAGGTAGTCCCAGCCTCCTGCTGAAAGCAGGGACAGTTGGATGAGTTCGCTTGAGGCCTTTACTGGTTGAGTTTTGAGGATCTCCAGTGATGCAGAGTCCACAGTCACTTTGCACAACGTGCTCCAATATTCAGCTACCCTCAGGTGAAAATTTTTCTTCCTTAGGTCTACTCTGCCTTTCTCATATTTGAAGTTGGCTGTTGCCTCTTGTCTTACCCCTGTGCACCTCTGAGAAGAGCCTGGTTCCCTGCACCTCCCCATTAGATAGTTGCAGAATTTTTGTGTCCAAAAAAGACTTTGAGGACCTTCAGTGTTTGAATCATGAAGTAACTGTTCTTTATAAACATGGGACATACATTAAACTGACTGAAAAGAACACGTATTTTTTAGATCCAGCCTGTTTTCTGCTTTAGGCAGTTTTTTTAGAGACAGCATACCAATTATGTAAGATTTTTCAGGAATGTGTTGTTCTTCCAGCAGATGGTGAAAATTTTTCAGAGGACTTTAATTGGTTAATTGGAGTCAAAAACCTTTAGAAGCACATCATCACTTTTATAGACACTGTGTATCTGGATTACTTTAGCGATATTCTGACCTTAATTATGTGATAGTCCAATTGTCTGTATAACAAAAAGTGTAAATTTATCACATCTTACAAATTCTGATATCTGGCAGACATTATTTCTGACTGCTATGGCCAATGGTAACAAGGTAATAAAATTCCTCCTATACTTCCCATTTAGGATTGCTTGATGTATTTCCTGGTATAAATATTGTAACAGCTGGAACAAGTTCAAAGGAAATCTCTGTGGTATTGTTCATAAAACCAGCAAATTTAAGAGGCTTTGATTGACTACTTAAATGGGCATGTCTCCTTTTCCTTTTTTATTTTTCTTTACCATGTGCAAAAAAGAGCCCAAATGAATTCAAGTTTGTCACCCCCTTGTTTTTTTTTCTCTCCTCCCTCAGATTGCCGCTATTCTCAGGAAACGAAAACTTGACTATTATTTGCACAAACTGCTACCTGAGATCTTGCAATCAACATCCTTTCTGACAGCAAATGGGACCTTATATATTGCTTGCTTTTGCATTCTGAGGTTGGTATACTGTCCTAAAAATGAAATGTAATAGGAATGCTATTTTTATACAACTTTTGAGTTTATGTAATTTGTCTTTTTTATACCAGGCTTGTTTGTAATGGGTAGGAGTAAGAAAAGCAACAGCTGTGCCATCATCTTGATTTCTGATCTTACCACTTGAATATTTCTCTTTTCTTCTCGCTTTTGTAATCTTTTAAATCAGTAAAAAAACCCATTAATATATTCATCTTGCTTCCTTTTCTCTGTTTTACTGATTCAAAATACATTGTTGCAGGAAATGCAAATATATTCTAGAGGGGAACCGAGAAGGCCAAATCTTTCTGTCCTAGAAATAATTGGGTTTGATGGTTGGACTTGATGATCTTACAGGTCGTTTCCAACCTTAATGATTCTATGATTTTATGATAATTGATGTAATTTGATGTTGGCTTCGATTTTCCTGATGAAGGGGCTGTGATGACTTTTAATTATCCTAAACTTTACCCAGCCATCCAAGTTTGTACTTTCCTCATTTGTGGTCAGAAATGAAGGAATTGCAGCACAGCTTCTGGGATTCTGTAAGATACAGACTTGCTCTGAAAAATAGGTATAAATGCCACTTCTGTATTCTAAGCCGTTTCCAGTGTTTATTTCAAGTAACTATCAGAACAGTTATAAATTGAACTTTCCTTTATGAACAGAACAATGTCCTAGATCTAAATGCATTTATTGTAAGAGGTATTATACATAGATATGTAGAGCCTATGGTAGCTATGAATTTTTGAAAGTTATTTGACAGCGCACTCAACAGCCCCTCTAAAAGTTAATCAGACCCATTATGCCTTGCTTCGAGATCTGTGTAGAGGCCTCTAAACTTTCCTTCAAAGATGGAGAAGGCTAAGAAGGGGAGGAGTTGGCTGAGGAGCCATGAAATGCTTTCTAAATAAATGATTTGCAAAGTTCAGAGTGAATCTTTACATAACAAGCTCTAAAGAATAGGAGTTTTTCTACCCATCTGAGTTGTATTAATATTGATTTATCTTTACTCCTCTGAGCTGTACGGTGGTCTTCCTAATCCTGCCATGAACTTGCCTGTAAATCTGCAGAGCCTGAATTCAGTGCAGTAGTTAGCTGTCAGTCTCTAAGTTAGGGTGGTGTGATTTGAAGTTTTATTGTTTTCAGCTGTTCCTCTGACAGAGGTTACTAGCCACCTAGCAGATCTGTGATGATGCCTGTGCTAGTAAAGGAAGCAGGTAAGAGATGAGTTTCTGCCTCTGAGGCCAGTTGGTATGGCATTGCTTTCACCTACATGGAGTACAGCTGTCTAAAGATGTTTTGACCTGCAAAACATACAGCATGCCCAGATGCGGAGTGAGTAATGTTGATGGTACCCAGTCCGTGCACCTGCCAAGTCCCCCTGAAGTATGCTTTGGGTTGACCCAGGCCAAAATCATGCAACGGACAATTCTAACAATTTAACGTGACAAGGCATACATGTAAAGGCTTACCCTGTTATTCTTACAGCTGTGCAGCAGAGTAACCAGCCAACATCTTGGGAGATGTATGTGCTTTTTCTGTTACAGGAGATGCCCATGAAGAGTTGTCACCTCCAGCAGAATTGCTGCTGGTAGGGTCTCTGCAGACTGCCCACCACCTGCAGTTGCAGGACTTGTGAACAAAAAATGTCAGCCTGTTGGCTGGGGTGCCAAGTGGAGCTCGTGAGCTGAAATCACAAGTAGAGGCAAAAGAGGAAGGTAGTTAGGAAGACTTGTGCATTACACCTGTTGGAGTATGTGAAAGTCCAGTTATAGGGAGTATTTGGCAGCTTTTCTGACAGGAATAAAATTCAGATCCTCAGCAATTAAGTGAATAGGATATGAACAGGATATGCAAGAGCTAGTAAATGACATTTCAAACAAACATTGGAGAACATGATTATCAGAAAAGTCGTATCTTCCAAATTTACTGGCATTCTTTGGAGGATAAATATATATCCGATGATGATCCCATTGGTGCATTATACATGAATTCCCAAATGATTTTCACAAGATTGCTTGCTAGGACTCCTCAAGAAGAAGGATCCTCTGTCTCCCAGGAGTTAATAAATGATTAGCAGGTAGTTAAAATCTGTGAAACCAAACAAGGAATAAATAATCAGTTTTCATAATAGGAAGAGGTTGCTAGTGATGTTCCTGCTCTGTCCTTTGTTCTGGATATAACTAAAGAATCTGGGAAAAGGGATGGAGCATAGTGTCAGAGATTATATGAGATTATTCAGGATACAGAAATCTAAAACTGACTCTCATCCATTTCAGAAAGATTTATTGATTAAAATCACTTATGAAATTTGATAGAGAAAAGTCCAAAGTGATGCATCGGGAGGAAAAAAACAGTCCTATCCTTACAGAGGGATGGTCTTGAAACTAGCTGCTGTTGATCAGGAAGGTGTTTGAGAGTCGTCACGGACAGGTTCTTTGAACAAGCCAGTTCAGTACTTGAATATGGTCAAGGAGCCAAGTAAGTGTTCTTTGGAGAGAAAATGAGAACAAGCCAGAAAGCTGTATAAATACATGACATCTTTACAAGTTGAGTACTGAATTCCTTGGTTTTTTTAGGTGCTTATCCTGAGATCATAATGTTGACAAGTCCTTCACTTGGTTTGTACTTAATATCAACGTTGTCTTGCAGCTTAAGTCATATAAACTTCCTTCTCTCTTCTACTGATAAGTGGTTGACAGAAGATCGAAATGTGAGACTTCACCTCTTTTTTTTTTTTATTTAACCAATTTGTGTGAGTTTTTTCATATCTGTTTTTTTTATATTTTGTTTGAACTGGTATGATTCCTTGAATTTATGGCTGTTTGATACAGTGTACTTCTTTTAGTAGCCCCTGAGAGCAGAAGTTACTATATGTCATTTTCCAGCCCAGAGTGTCATTTGGTATTGTAGGTTTTAATCCATCAAAGAAATATTCTATGATTCTGTCAGTATCTCCATGCTGCACCACTGTGGCCGGAGTTTTTCTGAACTTGATTTACAACATGCAAAGAGATTGTCTGAGACTCTGGAGAGCTAGGTGCTCTAGACCTGATTCGTGGTAGTGCTGAGAGGCTGGGTGTGATACATTTGTAGAATAGGATGCATGCTGCAATTTTTGTATCTTTTTGGTCGGAAGGTGTTTTATAGCGGGAGCAGCAGGAACTCAGAAGCAAAACTGTCCAGCTAGCCCCATGCAGCTAACTGATCTTACCTTCCTGGAGCTGTAGACCAAAGCAGCAGATTAAAGGGTTTGTAGCTGGACATGTTCACCTCATATTTACCTGCACAGTTCCTGATTTGGGAAGAGCTGCCTGTTTCCTTCTTTCGTAGCACCAAGGAGGAGATGTGTTGGCAGGCATATAGGGTGTCCTGGATGAAGTGACCGCTTCATCTGTTCATACCTTTACTGAAGTCCCAGTCAATCCTCAGTCGCTGTGCATGCTGAAAATACGTCTTACTCATCCAGTAACAACTAAAAGACCTAAATGTGAAGTGTAAGTGTCAGCGAGAAGTCTGGCTTCTGCTAATATGTCTGTTTGGTGCTCTTGTAGTATTTGCTTCCTTTCAGCTACAGAAAATGACCAGAATTGAAACTACTGCAAATATTTGCAAGGATGTAAAATTTAAGGCCAGAAAGTGCAATTAAAATAATTTCAGGCATTTTTTAATATTCTCAGTGTTTAATAGGTGGGCACAATTTCAAAACCGTCTAAATCCAATATCAGCAATTGCTTAGGCTGTGGATAGATGTTCCCGTTCTAGAAGGGATTACCAAGATAAATTGGCTGATTTCACACCCCCCCCCCTTGAAGTGAGTCAGAGAATATGTGCAGGCTGCTCTGTTGGTGATGATCTGCGTTACGGATGTGTGACAGGCCAGCTGGCTGTTACAATCTCTTCCGTTGGTGAGATCCAGCAGACTACATCTGTCTGAGCTTCAGACAGAAGTGCTAGGCTCCGCTGTTGACTCTGTTAATTGAAAGGTGTCATTTTTAGGGTTTTGGTTTTATTACATGCAAAACCTCATGAAGACATGGTTCTCTTAGTGTGGCAACTAGAGTAATAAAGTTTGTCCACATACAGCTTTGTATTAGTTTGCGTAATTAGATTCAGTGTTATGTATCAACCAGCCTTTGAGTTTTGGATACAGTTGTACATTGAGGAATTAGATTTATAACCGGAAAGAACTCGTATTTCTCATTCCAATTTCTAACCATAGACTATGTGAAAATAACCATGCAAATAATAACAATTTATTTTTGTTTACGTTAGCAGAGGTTTAAATGTTTCACTTACTGATTGGATGTTTTAATTTCCACTGGGTTTTGTTATGTAAAATATGTTACTGTTGTTTTCAAAATGTTATCAAACCGAACTTGTAAGCATTCGTAGAGGGATTCTTAACCATGCCAAAAGAACAAACTCCTGTTTCTTTCCCACAGAAAAGACATTTGTTCTGTTAAGTAACAGGTGTGTCTAGTAAGATGTGTTCATACTTATTAAGATGTTTAAAATGGCTTCTCTGAAACTTCAGACAGTAATTGCTTTCCAAGAGAGTTCTAATAATGAACTTCAGCTCCTGCAGTATTTGGCATTGTCGTCCTGAGAAATTATTATTTTGCAGCCGTGGGAATGAACAGTGTGTAATTGCCATTACATCACTTGCTGCTGATACACTGGCTCGCTTTTCACTTAGGAACAGAAGCTGGCATTGCTCACTGGTAATGTTATTTTTGCAGGAGAAGTATGAGATGAGGCTGATCATGCCTTTTAGAGCAAGAATTAAAGTGGGCTAATTGGATGATACTGATTAATTATCTTTGTTCTCTCGGCTGTGTTGTCAACATGAAATTTTATCAAAGAAAATTTCCTTTTCTACCGTGTATGTGTTTGCCATTTTGTTTGTTGTGTTTTGTTCACTGTGTTTTTAAACTGGTAGACTCTGTTGTAACACTGTGTTTTCCTGAACTGATAGTGCTTATCAGCTGAGCGGCATCGGTGTAACTGAAGTACGTTTGTGATTGCTACCAAGTTTCATGATTGCCTGACTATTGTTTGCCTCTGTGATCAATCTGAATTAGTTTGAAGGCGCAGGTGTCCTGAACAGACCAAAAGTGGTTGGTGTCATTGTGTCTGGCAAGCATTTTGGTTTTCCTCCTGTAACAGTGGCCAATTTGTAGAAATTTTATAGAAATATTTTCTTAGATGTTGTCATTTGTGTGACTGTTTTTTTCAACTCTTAATGCTGGAGGAATTTTGGTAATTGAAATTGTGTGGACACTGAGTGAAACGCAGGTCTCGTTGCAAAAAATGAGAGCTTTCCCACCTTAATAGAACTGGTGCTTCCAGTTGTAAAGTACAGATTGATTCCTTGGCTTATTGTAAATGAGTGGTTTACACTTTTTAGCATCAGTTGACTATCTGTCTTTGGAACGTGACGTATTATAATAATTGGATTTGATTTCTGACTCACCTGATAACATCCCTACATTCCACAAGGCACATCTTCCTGAAGATGTATTTGGACCAGTAGCAGAGAGAGGAGCAACTATAAATTCTTTTAGAGCATTTTTCTGTAATTAATATCTGCAACTTTTCAGAAACATCTCTTGAAAGCACTTCTTTCTTTGAAGCGAAGAAATCCTTAAAATGAAATGGATACATTAGTGAAGTATTTCAGGTGTTTAAGGTTTATGAAGCACCTTGGGAACCCCTGTGAGAACTATCCAATTGTCAAAATATAATGATTAGTATTTATTTGTAAGTATTGATTAATGTAAAGGGACAAAATTAAAAGTGTGCATAATTTTATGATAAAGGTAAAATATGGTGTTGTGCATGAATGTTTCAGTTACTTTGTGTGTAATATGTGTACAAATTACGTTTTCAGGAAGATACTTGGAAAGTTCTACTTTTGGTCTCCTGGCTTTGGTGCTGCTTTACCTGCTTCTTATATGGCTATTCTCATCGAAAGGAAAAGCAGGTATGGTTTGTGTTTACGGATTTTCAGTTTTATATAATAATATTTCTTGTTTTGGTCATTTGATGATTGACATTTGACAGTTCAGTGGTTTTCTTTCGGAATGCTGGAAATGTAGTTCATGTGAAATAGTGTCTTTTTCAACCTTAAATATAAATCTAGGAAGCTACCATGAAAAAAACACTTATAAAACATTCAGTTTCTTTTTTTGTGGTTTTTCTTGTTTAACTTGCTAAGGATTGCCCAATGAAGCTCGGTTAGTTAGAATTTCTTACTGAAGCTGTGGTTTGTTGGATTTTTTGAACAGAAATAATGTTTGTGATTAATCACAGAGAAGGAGCATGCTAAAGAAAGTTGCTGATGACTTAACAACGTGACATTAGTTAAGATAGAAGAGTAGTAGGATGTTGTGGAAAAAACTGCCTGGAAGAGCTGAGGTAATCCAAGCTGGATGGAGTGTAGTGATACAGAAAGCTGAGCCTTTCACTTAAGGAAGGGTGCCGAAGTTCGGCTATCAACGGGAAGTTGGTTATGAAAGCAGGAAGAGGGAGGAAGAAAGCTCTGAGTGATCCAAGGATAGCAGAAAGCTGCCGTTTGTGGCCATGGAAGGTGGCAGGTGAAATCCTGGGTTGTAGAGTTTTAATGTTTTGGATTTCAACTTATGTTGGTAGCTTGTGTCAATAGTGAAAGTTATAATGCTTAATTACTTTAATATGGTACGAATTGCTTTAGTCATCTAGTTAGTAGGTTTTATTCAAAGTGGAGAAGATGACAAAAGGGTAATGTAAGGGATTACTCTTTAAAAGATGATGAGGGGGCTTTAGCACCAGAGGTGATGTGAACGCACTTGCGGTTACTATGAGTATCTGAAACTTCCTTAAGCAGTCATTTCAAAATAACTGCAAATACCTATACATCATGTTGTTAACTGACTGTTGGGCCCCACTTCTAAACATCAATCATGGAGTAAGCAAAGGCCAAGGCAAGTTTTAGGTAAGATTGTCAAAATTCTGTCCTTTTAAAAGAATGGATTATCCATTGCTTTTGAAGATTGAGGATGTGTAAGAAGTTCTGGAAAGTTGACAGTGCTTCTAAATCACTTTAAGGTAACTGTAGAGAAAATACTTGTAATGAAGTTACCAAATAAGTTATTTATCTTTCTAATGTCCTCTCTAGCTGACTGAGTTTCATCTTGCTGCAGTTACTTCCAAGAGGGTGGATACATTTTGGAGAACTTTGTCTAGTTACGGCCAACCGTATCCTGGGCTGCATCCCCATCAGCGTGGCCAGCAGGTCGAGGGAGGTGATTCTGCCCCTCTGCTCCACTCTGCTGAGACCCCCCTGGAAGTCCTGCGTCCAGCTCTGGAGCCCCCCGACACAGGGCAGACCTGGAGCTGTTGGAGCGGGCGGGTCCAGAGGAGGCCACAAAGATGATCAAAGAGCTGGAGCACCTCTCTGTGAGGAAAGACTGAGGGAGTAGGGGTTGTTCAGCCTGGAGAAGAGAAGGCTCCGGGGTGACCTTCTAGCAGCCTTCCACAGCAGGACTTGTTGCGACAGGACAAGAAGTAATGGTTTTAAACTAAGGGAGGTTAGATTTAGACTGGATATAAGGAAGAAATTGTTTACTATGAAGGTTGTGAAACACTGGAACAGATTGCCCAGAGAGGTGGTAGATACCTCATCCCTGGAAACATTCCAGGCCAGACAGGACGGGGCTCTGAGCAGTGTGATCTGATTGAAGATGTCCCTGCTTACTGCAGGGAGGTTGGGCTAGATGACCTCTAAAGGTCCCTGCCAACCGAAACCATTTTATGTTTCTATAAGTGTAGCAAAAAGAATAAACAAACAAATTTTATGTCAGATGGGGTTTTCTAAAAGCCTTGGTGACCATGTATGAAAGCTTTGACATGTTAACAGGTGTCTGAAATTTGAAAGAAATAAAAGTTAAAATAGAGGTGTATGAAAATTACAAAAATAGGTTGGTAGAGCATGTGTGTAATGAATAATGCTGAAATACTCAATTCCAGGAAGGTTATTCTCCTTTGTCAGAATCCAAAATGTGTGACCTAAGGTATTTTGCCTAAAAAGTTCATGTTCTATTGCATCAGATCAAATGTAAAAAGGCAATGTTCGTATTGCAATATAACACATGCAGCTGAAAATGTGGGGTCATTGTTATTAGTGGAAAAAAGTTGTTAATTGGCATCAAAAGGGAGTTGAAAGTTTAGTTTTTTTAAGATATGAAGTTGTATGGTATGCTATCAGATGCTAACGATGTATAACATGTGAAATGCTGCTGCTGTCAGACACTGAAATATGGCTTTTGGAATTCATATTTATTTGCTTTTTTGCTTCTCTTACAGTCGCAATCAAATTTTAATAGACCTGTAATCTCTTAGGGAACTGACATTTGACACAGAGACACGATGGCATTTTCAGTTGTATCTGGAGTAGCTTACAACAAGTTGTATTGAAAATCAGGGAGGTGGGAAAAAGTCCTGATTTGAGTTCATAAATGTATCTCTAGCCCTTTAAATTGCTGCTAGCAGCTGGCAGCAGCATCAAACTTAATCACTTAATCTCTTCCCAAGTGTATACCCTATTTTAAGTCCTTCACTGGCATTTGCTTGCACAGCATCCCTGTCAGTCCTGAACTTGGGAACAGCAGGCTTGTAAATCAGATTTACTTCTGCGTGTTGCTGGTCATGTGTGCCAGCCTTGCACATTTTATAATTCTTACGGAAGAATGGGAAAAAGAGATGGATAGCTTGTCTAGGCATATTATAATCCTGAGGAGCAGCAAGTTTCCTAATGTGTTACAGAACTAATTTGATTATAGGTGGTGTCTGTGTAGTATGTAAGTGCAAATTTGCATGGCACTGGCAATGAGAAGGGGAGGTGACATTGCATAGAAACTTCAAACAGACTTAGGAAATGATCTGTGTCATATTATGCTGCTGCGGTTCTATAAAGATATAAATTGCACATTAGTATGTCCATGTGTATTCTATCTGGTGGCTATAAAATAGTCTTATCCTGTCTGTGAAAACTAGTTTATTAGGGTCTGCGGAAAGGGCCAAGAAATACGAACACTTGTAAACTCTTTTGTAGATATACACATAAATGTTCTGTGAGATGACTGGAAAAGAACTAGTCACATTATTATGATTAAGCAGTGTTTTAATAATTGTTATTTCTCAGATAATAACTGAATGTAGTTACATAAACATGGAGATGATGTGTTTGTAATGTGCAGATTTGTATTCTGTGCCTTTAGTCCCTTACACCAGTAGGAGTAACTCAGAATTTTTGCCTTTTTGTGGTGCTCTCAAGCAGTGTGGGTTGCATGTTAGGATTAGGAGGAAGCATCCTTACTGCCAATGCAGAATTTATAAATGATGGTCTGACATCTGTTAGCTACGTAGCTGGTATATGGTTGATGCTCTGCGAAGTGCTAGGAGGGCATGGAGTTAAATGTCAACTGATTTTGACTGTACATCATCTCATACAGTACAGATATTTTTAATCGTTTTTGGTGTTAGTCCTGCCATGTTATTTCTTTTTGCTGTATTTATGGCTCTGGCAGTGGTGTTGAAAAACGAGAAATGAAACAAAAAATATTGTAGGTGTTACTGGTGCGTTACGTGTTTTCACTAGCAAAGAAAATGTTCTTGCAAATAAGGAAAGTGCTCCCTTTTCCTGGAGAAATGTGCACAGCTCATTAGTATGTACATTTTTCTAATGCCTTTTGATTATTTGGTCGTGACGTCAACATTTTACTCTGTAAGTATATATTGTCATAAGAACTATGGCTGTATTATAGTAAATAAGCTTCTAACAGCAGCACTTGCACAAGTGTATTTAAAAGAATGTAATTTTCTTTACAGTTTCACCTTTTTTACATCTTCTATTAAAGAAAAGTGCAATTCTTTTGTCACAGAACTTAGTTATGTAGTTTTAGACATTATAAGTTGTGTTAATGTCTCCTTGAAAATAGAGGTATGATTCAGTTACATCAGTTAAGCTTCGTTAGGAAATCAGTACATGCATTTTATTAACCTTTGGATGGAATTATTTTACCAGTGTACTCCTTGTTTACTCCCATAGGTGTTGTTTCAAATTGTTGATAAGAAGCCATTTGATTTGTTTGTAATTTTGAAAAATGAATATTTTGTTTACATCTTTTGGCTTCTGTTTGTATTTCGGAGTTACAGTCTGCTGTCATTTTTTTCAACATCTATTAAATGTTATCAACAAGAATTGAGCATACAGTAAAGGAGGAGGAATGTGGCTTAGACTGAAAGACAGGGTACTACCTTGTTCCAGAAGCACCGAGACTGTTAGAAAGCGAGGAAGTAACTGAATATGCTTGTTAAAATTGTTGTGAATGAAGCTGTTGAAAAGTGATTTGAGGCTTGGCTGAAGCCAGCCTATTACTGGAAATCTGATTAGATCAGTTGTACCTTACTGATTTCTAAGACAAAGAAGTCTGATAGCTATATGGCGAGCCTGTGTTTAAGACCTCGGTGGTAATTCTCAGGGAAAAGAGTGATGTTCTCTTAAGTGTTTTGTAAATGTGCTGATGTTTCAAAACGCTGTAGTTTGTGTTCGCTAATAGGTAAATGGCAAACTTTAGTTTGCTGGATTCTTGTTCAAAAAATAATGTATTAAAGCTTTAATAAGGGACACAATTACAGTTTTAATGTAATTAATTGCCCTACTGCCTGGCTAACTTTTTTTTCCCCCCTGCCCTTTGTAAGTAATTATGCCGAAGAAAGTTTAACTACAGCCACCTAAAAGTTCTGTGGCAGTTCTGAAGGGACCCTTTGGGGATTGCCCCCTGCTCCCCCTGAGGCTGCATTAATGTTTGCGTACTGGCTGTTAACATTATAGCGGCGCCTGTCTCGTCGCTACAGTTAAGACTGTGTCACTGATGGTATTATAAAACGTGAGATTTAGGGCTTTTATAACTTGGTTGTAAAATCTTGCTCAGGGCGACTATG